CGTAATCTTCTAAGCATTTAGTCCTAAAATTTTCAAAGACATCTGTTAATAAAAACACATCGGTTTGTAAATATAAGTCGTGATATTCTCCCAAGTCTTTTATGTTAAAATGTTTCCATATGTGTTTTGCTCTGTCATATTCTTTTTGTTCTATACTTTGTTCCGTAAGTTGGCTATAAAAATCTTCAATTGGTGGTAGGGATGTTTCAGTAAATTTCTTAAAATCTGTGAAATAGTCATAAGGATATATGCCCTTGTCTGTTAATAAATCTAAATCCTCATCTGATGTTATGTATTTGCTCGTTTTGCTGAATTTGAAGTTTTCTGTCCAATTGTTGCGCTTATCGTTTTCTTCGTATTTTGTTAGCTTAACAAGCTTATCTAAGGAAGAAGATAAAAAACTGAAGGTATCCTTAAACTCAAGCTCTTTAAGACAAAAGGTTATGAACTTTTCGCTGTTTTGCGCGATTACGTTTATTTCATCTTTTTCTGTGTCTAACTTATCCAAGTTGGATATAATTAAGTGCGCGTCATAATTCTTAAGATTGTGAAAGAAAACTGGGATTTTGAAATCTTTAAAACAAAAATCAAGATTACATTTTAAGTGTGCTGGACCTCTATATTGTCCTGTAAAATGACAATGGTCTCTTACCTTCTTTTTTCCGTCCTTTTTGTTATCAAAACAACCGTTACAAATATGACACCTTTTGGCTTCGTCGTATTCTTTTTGTTCTTTGTCTGTTAAGTCATTCATTGATAAGGGATGTTTTATTACATACATTATTTCTTCCCTTATCTCATTCATGGTTTCGCAGAATTTGTTCATACAATCTTCACCTCTGTATAAGTAAGGCTTACATTCATCGGTTATAGAATTAACAACGTTTAACATAAAACCCGATGGTTTATGTTCCTGGTATGCTCCTTTCAGTTGCATAGGGTTGTTTTCACACCCGTAAGTTCCCTTTATACCTTCATCTGTTTGTGTTGTTAAACATTCAAAATCACCGTAAATAACATATGGGCACTTAAGCTTTTTATAGTGGTTCTTGAAGAATGTTTTATCCTTTTCTGGCATTTCTACGTTTTGAATGTTATTTGCCATGCATCCTTTTATTGTATGTTGTGTTAATAAGGTTTCTTTCTGAAAGCCTTTTTGACAATATTGACAATGAAACAGTTTAATCTTGTTCTTATTTGTTTGCATACTCATTAACCTCGAATAGTCCTTTATCAATACATAATGGCTTTTGTCATCCTTTTCTAAACGTAATAAATTTACATGACATGTTGGTTTTAATTTTTTTGTTATTCTGTCTGCCCTTATCTTTTGTGTTACCTCGTCTATAACATAAACATTCACTGAAATACTACCTTCATTAAGCTCTTCAAAATAATCTATGTCATCATTAGAAGCTGGAAAATTAACATCATCCCATTTTAAAAAAGAATCATTGTTTTTTAGCTTATTATAATGATACATTCTTTCGGGATTGTGATTTTTATAGATGTTGTAAAAATAGCATTGAACACAATATTTAAAACAATAATCGTCATCGTTTTTAATGTTGATACATGCTTTTTTTAATGATACCCACTTAGGTAGTTCAATATAAGACCCTGCCCTTGTGGGGTCATATTTGGCATAATGAATTGTTATTTTCATTATCTTTTTTATTGTTAATCCTGAACGTTTTAACTGTGAGTTTTCTATTTGGTCCTCAATGTTGTCCGCCATTTTGTTTATGGCTTTGTTTAAGTCTTCTTCGTTCAATATGTCGTATCTTCTGCTTCTTATTGTGTGTCTTACTTCATCTTCTTCTGGATGATTAAATGCGACATCCACTTCTATTAACACTTTCATTTGTTTTTCTTTTTTCAAGTATTCGGTTAATCTTTCTTTTTGGTATTTTAAATAAGATAGACCACGATAACCGTTCAAATTGATATTAGTAATCGAATATGTGTTCGCGTATCTTTTTAATGCTTGTCTTTCGTTTGTGATTTTTGCTTTTCTTCTAATTGCGTATGATTTAAGGGCTTGTCTCGTTTTTGCTTGTTGTCCTGCTCTGTGTAGTATCTCATAACGTTTAAAACCTTGTGTGTTTGAAATTGATTGTAGTTTTTTGGTTAATTTTGTTGAGAAGGGTTGTTCTTTATTATATCTGTATTCATTACCATTAATTACTACTTTTTTAATTCTTTATTACCTCTCTTCTTTATTTCACCGATATTACTACTCAAAACATACTTCATCACGTCGTTTAAACGGGGTTCTGCCATATACCTATACCCTATAAGTCTTCAAGTCTTTAAGTCCTTTTGGGTGGCGTTTTCTCTGGGTTTGGGTGTGGTTTGGGCGAGGGTCTGCCTGAACTTTAGGCGGGGGTCTGCCTGAACTTTAGGCGGGGGGGGGTCTGCCTAAATTAGGGGTTAATACCCAAAATAGAGCATTTTCTCACTTAAATATTTAGGCGGGGGTCTGCCTGAACTTTAGGCGGGGGTCTGCCTGAACTTTAGGCGGGGGTCTGCCTGAACTTTAGGCGAGGGTCTGCCTTAACTTTAGGCGGGGGTCTGCCTGAACTTTAGGCGAGGGTCTGCCTGAACTTTAGGAGAGGGTCTTCTTAAACTTTAAGGGTAAAAAATAAGGACAACAACCCTTAAAGACATAATCACTTAGGGAGTACGGAGACAATGAGCATTGAAACACGATTTTGTAGGAGTTGTCGGAAATCAAAAACAACAGACAATTTTACTTATGGGCTTAAATCTTGTGATAACTGTATTGATAAGAAAAAGCGTTATAGAGAAGCAAATAGGGAAGAATTGAAAGACAAGGCAAGAGAACGATATGAAGAAAACCGAGATGACATTTTGCAGAAAAGAAAAGAATATATTTTAAATAACCATGACAAAGTGCTACAACAGAAAAAAGAATACAGAGAACGATACAAAGACCAGATACGAGAAAAAGTAAAAGAACACTATGAAGCACACAAAACAAAAATACTATTAAATCAAAAATGCTATCGTAATCAAAGAATCATGTGTCCTACTTGTGGATGTGAAATAGATAAATACAATAAGCAACATGAGCAAACCAATAAACACATAAAAAAAACAAGAAAAACTGAATGAATCACAAAAAGAGCAAAACCTTAATCAAAAGGACTAACTACAACACGGGAAGCCCCAGAAGGTTGAGAAGTTGGGAAAAGACTGAAACGAAGAAGGGGGGAAGGTGGGGAAGAATTTAGGTTTATTGTTGCTATAAATCATAACAACAACAAACATTCAAACAATGATATGGGAAGGACTTTAAGAATATAGGAACGCATAAGGTGGATAGATTAAATTTTAGGGGTGTTGTTATTTGTAGGATTTGTGGAACGAATGAGGTAGGTTGTCCTTAGAAACCTTCCTAAGTTAATGGATAAGGTGGGGAAATTAGGGAAAACGAATAAGGGGCTTATAAAAAGTTGGGAACAAAAATTCGGCGGGAAACACGGGGAAACTGGGCTTAGGAAATGCAACAGGTAGCGAAAGAACATAGAACTAAATAAGGGGGCAGGGTCAAGAAAAAGCAGAGCTGGGGGGCAAGTGGGTAGCGATATAACCCTGAAACCTTGACCTCAGAGACCTCCTTTTACATATTTTTTGGGGGCCCCCCCCCTCCCCAGAAATCAATTAAGGCGACCCTGAAAGGAGGAGGGGGGGGGGTGTCACCTTAAGATTGATTTTGTCAATCCTATAAGGGGGGGAGGGGGGGGCCCCCCCCCCCCTCCACAGCCCTTTATCTCTCTGATTTTCAGACCACTTAAGGGTCGGAGTCGCTTCTTGACCCAGCTGAACACTAGAGAGAATTCTTGTAAACGACAACTCTCGCGAGCTCCAAGGAGCTAGCTTTCGTGACATACAATTGCACGTACGTACATAATACATAAATTCACACTGCCAGACAATCATACCGTCAAAACTTAAAATCATGTGCGTGTGTGTATGTATAATACAAAATATGTATAATATATATATATACACAAATTGTCTACACATGTATGTTAGTACATAGACACACATGTGTAGGTATGGATGTATGTATGTATGTATGTATGTATGTATGTATATATGTGTGCATTTGTATCATGTATCATGTGTCATGTAGAAAGTATAGTACAAGTGCGTACGGTGTTTTAGACATGTTAACTTTCACATCTGATTGTCCTTACCATTGCTACAGGACTACGTCTCCGCTGAGCTGTTGTTTTGTCACATGTCTGTTCTTCTTGCACCCTAGACTCGCCTTTTCCTACCGGGGTTCTCAGTTGGGACCCTAAACCCTAAACCCAATACTCTAAACCCTAAACCCAAATCCCGACGCGGGCCCAATCGCTCTGAGAACTTCGACCTCCACTCCAGATGTGCAAAGGGAACTCAGAGCTCCCAAAGTCTGAACCAACTGTAGGGCTTAGGGTTTAGGGTTTAGGGTTTTAGGGTTTAGGGGTTTAGGGTTTAGGGTTTAGGGTTTAGGGTTTAGGGTTTAGGGTGTCCCAAAGCCCTACGCCCTCATGCTAAGCGGCCGCACGGCCGCGGCAGCCTCGGCCACCTGGCCTCCGGCCGCGAGGTGGCAGGCGAGTAGGTTCTGGAGCGGAATGCGTCCGAAGGAGCCTCAGACTGGTGTAGGGCTTAGGGTTTTCAGGGTCCTAACGGCTTTAAGGGCTTTAAGGGATTTTAAGGGTTTCAAGGGTTTTAAGAGTTCAAGGGTTTAAGGGTTTCAGGGTTCAGAGTTGACAGGGTTCGGGGTTTCTCACGTCGGGCCGGCCTTCTGAAAACTCCCAAGTACAGTCTGAAAGGCAGCCTAGTTTGGGGCGGTTTGTTGACGAGGTCAGCCCTCGCGTCGGGAAGGATTCTGGGATTTAAGAGGCTTCGACCATCTTCAGCCCTTCAAACAACAACAGCAGAACAATCATTGCAACAAAAGAAGTGCTGGTCAACTATTGCCCTCAACCCCGAACGCTGCCCTGGATTGCAGCGAGGCTGCTGGGCCACCAGCCAGCCAAAGGGAGCCGGCGCAGCAGCTCGCACTCGCGGTCGCGCAGCGCGTGCTGCTCCTGGGGCTTCTCTGCATTGTCGATCTAGGGTGCGTGGTACCCTCCATACGAATGTGTGGTGCCTTCAAAGCGCACGTAGGATGACACTGAGCGCGTCTAACCAACCTTTCCAAGAATCTAGGGCGAATCTAGGGGCAGTGGAGCAGGTTCGAATGTCCGCATTGCACGCAACATGGCAGGAAAGCCCACTCACAGCGCAGTCTTTCTCATGGCCACATGCAGAGGGCCCACGGGCCACGCGTCAGCTGCATAGCCACTGTAACCTGCTTGAGAGGAATGTGGCGGTAGAACTGGTGTGAAACTTTGAAACACGACTCTCTTGCCTTACTCTTCACCGCACACAGGCCCTGTCACAGTGCTGTCAAATGTTACAAGTCCGCCTCAAAAGTTTCCATGAGCCATGGCACTCACAATTCTTGTGGAAGACTTTATGGCAACGTAACACAGACCACACAGACTCATACATCGCCCCCGACTGCGGTAATTCGGCCTTATAGACCTCTCATCATCCGCCATAGCACCCATAGTATCATAGCTTGGCGCACAACTGTCACCTCGGCCCGTTGCAATGCGTGTCTTCAAGGACATTCAGGTCGCTTGTCCCCTCCAAACTTCCGAAGCTCGTTTGTCTACCCGATTCTGCGGAGACTGGAGGGAGATCTGTCCTAGCTGCTACGGTTTCCGAGGATGCCACCGGCCCCTCTGCATCCTCTGTGAAACGGAAGGCGTCCACAAGGATATTCTGACTCCCGTGGTTCCGAGTGAGGCGCAGGATGCGGTGCTTTTCTCTGAGCTCGGGCGTCAAGCACTTCTGGCACGCCGCTTGCAGAGACACTCGCTGCCCATTGCTGAAGACTTGAGGCGCCCGTCTTCGTGAGTCGGGCTGGAAGGCACTGGCTTCAAACTCTGCCAGGTTCTCAGCCAGGCCCTGGTACTGCGCCGGCCGCACCTCTGTGACCACAATGCCGCGTGTACCCGCCAACATGTTCAAGACCTGGTAAGTTGCTGAACACGCCTCAGGGCTTGTGAAGTTGATGATGGCTAAATTTGATGCAGGCATGTACACGCAGTCGTACGGCTTTTGCTGCCACACTGGTCCACAGTAATGATGCGAGTGCTGCAGTAGAGCCTGACATGTAAGCCGCTTGGACGTACGAAGTGCCAGGGTCGTTGTTCCAGGGACTGGTGCTGCCATTGCTTGGAGGTCCAAACCAAACTGGAGCTTGGGCCACATGAACCAAGGATGAAGCTGATATGGGCGCTGGCAAAGGGCAGGTCCCGATTACCGTCTGTTGTGCTTGTGATGCTCCGTGGGACAGAGAGAGCAAACCAAAGACGTAGAAGGTGCGCTGTGGGGCAGGGGCCAACGAACCTGGAAGTTGCAAAACCGAAGAGCAGGCACTCTCGGGTCTTCTCCGGCGCCGGTGGCTTGCTTTTGTTTTTTGGGTTGGGGGGGGGGGGGGGGTTGCATGGCTTCACATACAAGTAAGGCTGAGCTGTGACACTGCAGTTGGCGAAGGCATGCGAAGGCTATAAGGGTTCGCTCTGAACCGAAACCCCAAACGCTGCGAAGTAGATCCGGCGGCCAGGGTTTAGGCAAGCGTCGCTCAGCATCAGCAGGGTGAAGTGAAGTGGGCTGTTGATGTGCGGGTGGATGCCTTGAACGGGGTGCTGTCCGGACTGAAGCCCTAAACCCGTAAAGCCCCATTAAATCCCTATAGGGCGGGACAGTCATCAGGATAACAACAATGTGACATGGCCGCGATGCTGACTCTCGACGGTTTAAGGCTAGGGTTTAGGGTTTAGGGTTTAGGGTTTAGGGTTTAGGGTTTAGGGTTTAGGGTTTAGGGTTTAGGGTTTAGGGTTTAGGGTTTAGGGTTTAGGGTTTAGGGTTTAGGGTTTAGGGTTTAGGGTATTAGGGTTTAGGGTTTAGGGTTTAGGGTTTAGGGTTTAGGGTTTAGGGTTTAGGGTTTAGGGTTTAGGGTTTAGGGTTTAGGGTTTAGGGTTTAGGGTTTAGGGTTTAGGGTTTAGGGTTTAGGGTATCTGAGGGGTTTACCTCTAGCAACATCGCAGATGAGACCCAAAGCAACTGCCATTCAGAGCGAGAGTCCACTTTTCAAAGACCTTGGACTTGGGACCTCTGTGCTGACCTATATATACACCCGTCAGCGTCTTCACAAAAATCTGCATCGCAACTGCAAGCTTCGAATTGACTTTGGATATGGTCGTGGTCTCACTTGAGCAAATGCTTTCAATCATGTGTGGTGCCTGAGGCTGCCTATCGGCTAACATTTCCCAGATGGATGACATGATGCTTTCCAAACTGAACTTTCATGAAGCAGCTGTAGCAATGCTTCTTGAGATCTCTTGATTTCAGACAGAGTTCAGTCCTATGAGGGACATGTTCATCTATCTTGGCGTGCTGGACAGACATGCGACGGGAAACAATCGTGCGCCTTGCCCAAGGGAGGCCTCCCAGACAGCGAAGGCTGTCTCCCAGGCGCTTGAATTCCTCAGGAGCCGGTCTTTTCATAGCAGCTGCTACACGAGTTTCCCCACTCACCCGTTGGAAGCAGCGGTGTTTTCTGCATGCTTGCTGATTGTGGCCTAATACTACGCGGGCACGTAGCACCCAACAGTGCGCGCATGGCAGTGCCTAAAAACATAGGCAACAAGTGAAACGCTGGAGCTCCTGAAGGCAACAAGACGCGCCAGCATAGCGTCAAAAACCCAAAACCACATGCCCTAAGCTCATCCTAACATGCTGGAAGCTTCCAACATCCTGCCTCGCAGCTTCATGGGTAGCTATAACTGGGGCTATCAGTAGGGCACCTACTTGCAGCACTAAACCCTAACGCCTCCCTGTGAACAACCCATCCCCAAGAATATGAGAAGGCCTGAGTTCCAGCATCAAGCGATGGGCAAAGTCAGGTATCAGTGAGGTATTCAAACAGGGTTTAGGGTTTAGGGTTGCGAGTTTAGGATATACAGAAGGTTTAGGGTTTTGTGTTTTTAGAATTTAATATCGCAAATCCAAACTCTCACACCACAGACTGGTTGCCTGCATTGCACAAAAGGGTGCTCCGTTAAAGGGTGTTGGGGGATTTCTCAGGTGCGAGGGGGGGATGTGGTGTACAACCCTAACCCTTAAGCCAACTTCTATAGCGATCCAGCCAGGAAGCGCGCACGCGAGGACGGCGGAGCTGTAGCTGACTTCGTCAGCCATCAAACTCAGAGTCGATATCTCCTGAGCCAAACTTGCAGTCCCACTGAACTCTCAACACTAGACCCTGAACACTAAAACCAATCTGGGTAGTTCGGAATTCCCCAAGCAGGGATCCCCTAATATGGTTTGGAAGGACTACAAACCTGAATTGAACTCGAAGCCTGCACGCGCCCTACACCCTAAAACCCAACAATTGGGCTTAGGCGGGACGTTTGGGTTTCGGCATTTGAGGTTTGGAACTTCGGGCTTGATTAGGGGGGGGTTGGGTTCTATCTGACGCCGAACAGCTGTGAAACGCTTGACACCCAGCGTCAATTGAACTACTCCTGAGACTTGATCCCGAAGTCAGGGAGGTGTTTCATTTTCCGCAAGCGTTTTTCCTAGTCCTTCATGTCTTGTTAAGTTGACGTCCCTGAAAACACAACCACGGTAGCCGATGGTTGCAGGGGCCTTAGGGCTGTTTCGAGTTTGCTCATTAGGGACTGAGGCCGCCTAAGTAGTGCTTGGCTCTCACGCATAGGTCAAGACACTTCAAGCAGGCGAAGGGCAAGTTCCCATTGCAGGCCCTTCCTTGGCAGCTTGGGGGCTTCGTGGGGGTTTCCGAAACTGGGGTACCTGTTTGGGGTCCATGTTGTAAGGGAATCCTACTATTTGGGAATCGATATTGGGGGTCCCCTGTTTTCATAAAACCCCCCATGCAGGGCTTGGAGGCTTGCAGATACAT